ACGTGAGAAGAGTCAGCAGCATTTAGTGAATGTTCGGTTCACCTTATAACCACCGCTCTCTCCCCTGTGAGCCTTCCACGCACTGCAACTTCGAGGAGAGCTGCCCTGCCCAGGATTATGCATCCCCACCTCTGACCTGGTCGTTATTCCCAATTATCATCCATTTCAAACCGTCAGCAGGGCAATAGCGTGTGCACATCAAGGATCACAAAAGGAACTTGGATTATGAAGAACAAAAAAATCTGTCCAACATGTGGCACCATTAAAGAATTCTGGCTGAGACATATTGTTTATAGTCAGCAGTTGTCTGGAAAATAGATGTTTACTTGTAGTGAGTGTATTAAGATCTTTGCCATTAGGCAACATATATCCTGTGTCGTGTCTTGTCTTACAGAAAACTATGTTGGAATAAACCTTTAATTAGCCTTTCCTGTGGCAATGAAGAGCAGTAAACAGTGATACTGTCCTATATTGGTGTTTCTGCCAGAGAGAGAGAGAGAGACAGAGAGAGAGAGAGAGAGAGAGAGAGAGAGAGAGAGAGAGAGAGAGAGAGAGGAAGCCAAACAGCAGGAGCCTTATTTTGGGAAGGATGACTTTTTAAAATGGTATATCCCATTTAAAACTACAAGTGAAGTATTTTCTAAATAAAGATGATATTACTTAGAGCAAAAAATGTCCCCAACATTCAGCAATAACTTAAACACACCGGGTTTCCCAGAACCATCCATCTTCTGATGAAAAGGTATATTTTAATATGACTAGGGGCATTCTTTGCATCAGGCTTGCTCAAGTCTCTCAGGAGTTTCTTTAGTCAGTGATGAGACTTAAATGTTCCTGTGGCATAATAGGGACCGTTTTATGCACAGCTCTTCCAGGAAAGAGACTGGGCATCACAGCACCACTATCTTATCTTGCTTTGGACACATTATAATTTTTCTGCCTCTGTTTTTTTTTTTTTTTTTTAGCAAACACACTTGTGATCCCTCCCCCCGGCCCATCATATGAAGGGATAGCTCTAATCTATCTGAATACCATTACATCCAAG